AACTAAACCTTGATTCTAATCCCTCCTCGAGCGGGGTAGACGGGCCTGGCAGTCCTGCTGGGTGCTGCCAGCCCATCCCACCACCAGACTTGTGTATTGCCGATGGCAATTCCCTCCTGACATCCTCTCTAACCCCATTAATCCGCATCCGTCCTAGCGCCCTGTGCTGCTTGCCCGTGTGTCACTGCTGCCTCGGTCCTTCCACCCTAAACATCTTTTCTTTCTTTTCACCCTTTTGTGTTTCTTCTATCAAGCAGCAAAGAATTACGGGGTGTTTGACTTTCTCTGAGCCTGCCGCCTGTGGGGGGGAGAGCTGGAGCGTGGCGTGGCCCGACAGGAGGACACGGAGCTCCAAGGGCGCTGGGCACGCGTGGCGCTGAAGATGGCTTCTTTCCTCCCCCTTACGGAAGACACCCTGCCCTTCCCGCAGCCCTGAGAGGGGAGCAGGGACCAGCCTTATATATATGTTTTAAATCCCATTGTAGTTGCCTTTTGGCTAATGCATGAATGTTCCAGGGCTTCAGTGCCTCCAGGGAGTGGAGAGATGCTGCCACTTCCCTCTTGCCCACGCATTGGGCCAGGTCTGAGCCTGGCACTGCCTCGTGGCAGGACCCTCCTTCACCTTGCCCGGGCTGTGAGTCTCGGGGCTGGGGCTGTGCCTCTGCCTTCAGCCCGGAGCGGCGGTGGGTGCCTGCGCGCAGTCTTGCGTGACTCAGGGCTCCGCACCTGCGCTTGGGTACTCGGCGGGGATTTAAGGGCAGAGTTCTGCTCCCTCCGTCCTGCTCTTTGCCCTCCTGCCTTCAATGTGCTGCTGCCTGTCCTGTTTGTAGGGGCCATCCCGTGCCTGGGGCTGGCGGTAGCAGCTGTGGCCTCCCTGCCGCTGCCGCGCTGCTGCTCAGCAGTGTGGCATCCTCAAGGGCCTGGACGGAGTTAGGAGGTGAGGGAGGGGCCCAGCTGTGTTGCTTTCACGCTTTGGGGAAACATGGAGGTCCCTTCTGCTTGTCCTAGGAAGGGCCTGAGTCTGCCTCCCCCTCTGTGCAGCTCCATGGCTGCCGGGAGGGATGAGGCTCTGGGATGGAGCTGGGATGGCCCCGCTCCGGGCTGTGAACGGTGCCTGGCAGCAACGCGAGCTCTCGGGCATGGACCGCGGCCTCCGGGCTCGGTGCCTGCGGAGGTGTCAGGACAGCCGAGTCTGGCGCTCCCTGCCCTTTTCCTTCCTCTTACGGGTACTCGGAGATGTGCCTCGGGCTGGGGCAGCCCCATGCCCGGGGCCAAGCTCGGTACGGTACGGACACACTCGACCCTGCTGCTCTGGGTGCTGGTGCCCCGTCGCCCTCTCTTATTGCCGCCTTTCGTCCTTCTTCCGTTTGCCCGTTTTATACGCTGGAGATGAAATATATTTTGCTCCGTGGGGGTCCGCGTTGCCCCCCTAACCCCTCTGCCAGCTCTCACGCGCCATCGGTTCGTCCCGAAAGCCTTCTCCCTCCCTTCCGCCTGCCCCGTGCCCCTCTCCCCGGCCTGGCACCAGCTAGCTACCACCTGTGCCCACCCCCCC